TCTTCCACTCCACTYTGAAGGCCCCATTCTGGTATGAGTRAAACAAGGATAAAATRCTRCAGTGAATCTGAACTGGTTGGAGGATCAAGATTTTCTTTCAATGTCTATTCTTATTTATTAACATGGGTGAAACATCAGCTATATCTTCAATCTAAGTACATTATTTGGCACTGAATTTGAGTTTTGTTCTGTGGATTCAGAATAACCTCTTTTAACTCTGTTTGATACGTATAGAAAATRTGATTACTTGACCCTTCAATGAGACTACACTGTTATTTATCCTGACAGAAAAAGAATTTTGTTTTATTTCTCTCATTCTGCATAGCAGGGATCCTGGGCATATCCTTGAAATGCCCTGCAAATAAAAATCACTGTCAGACTTGAAATCAGTCTGTTTTTCTATTGATTACTATATCATCCAGCTACCCATGCCACTAGCTGAAGACAATATGGATTACCAGTTAGATTTCTAAGATAACAGGTACTTCTTTTTTAAAAATTAAGTGTATCTTTCTATTAAARAAATAAAATATCAAGTACCATCTGTATACAATCGTTGGCCCATTGTTAACTTAAATATAGTACAAAAGTAAAAAAAGCCATAATGCCATAAAGAAAAACTTGTTACAATATAATTTGTATTACATTTCAAAGAAAATCTGAGTGGTTAATATAGGGGTACAAAGTAATTTCTGATTTTACATTCAGAGTCTAATATGATATTCAATTCTTAGGTCAGATCTCAGAAACACGTAGTGCATCAAATGTTCTGACTGTGTTCTTCTGTTATTATACCATTACCCTGAATGTATTCTTCCTTCAACTTCTTTTTTGCAATGCATTTGGTAGAACTTTACKCAGCTGATTTAAAGACAGACACAATAGATCTTGACACTGGAAAAGAAATATGTTTTTTGTTTCATAGGTACTTTATTGTACTTATAATTTATTTGATTTATTTACTTTATTATATTAAAGTGATTTTTAACATAGAAAATAGCATTAATTTAATCTCTAGACTTTTTTTTCTTGAAAGTTTGAACTAGTATTAGGAGCTGGATCTAGAATTCGGCTGTGTTTGGTGCATCAGAGTTAAGTCCTGGGAACAAGTTTTCTTGAAAACAGGAAATTCAGGTTTAATTTATGCCTGACCTTTGCAGCATTAATCCCTCTCTTCACGGGCTTAAAATGTGAAAAATAAAATGCYAGCATACAGACTCTGTACATCATAGAGATGTAGAAATTACAGGATAATGGAGTCTACCTGACTCTAAGTTGCATTTGTAATCATAAGCATGAACATTGTTTTGAACTATGCAAACTGAATTTTATGTACATTTTGAAAATGTAYGCAGTTTCTTGTCAACAAGAAGATCAATGAAGTGCTGTCCAAATTGTTCATCCATTAGTTAGCCTTTCWTGTGTCAGCATTACTGTCAGCTTTAGTTAGAGAACTTCATTTATTTAAAATTTCATTCACTGTGGGAGGGATGAGGAAGTGAATCATGTCTCAGTAATGGAAATCTGGAAGGGGAAGGCATTGTCTCCTGTATTGAATTAACAACCACAGGGTAGTAAGTCATTTTGAGGTTTGCATTTGAGGCAGAAGCTTTGCCCCAAATGATTCTGGTCAAAATAGTCTTAAATGTCCAGGTCTCACCAAAAGTAATGGACATTATACTGTACACCTAGTACCTCAAAAACAATGTTGGTTTTATATACAACACTTACCTAGTTGTTTCTCTTCTTCTTTGCGAGAAGCGTATGTTTGAAAAAAAACACATTCTTCCATTCCTTGTGGAGTGTGAATTGTTTTTTTTTTTTAAATTATCTCTTTGCATAATTATCTGTTACAGTTTAGCATGATTGAAGTGCTTTGACACCCAATCAGCCCCACAGACAGTTTATGAAATGTGCTGTACTAGTACATAAAACRCCTGCCTCTTCCAGCTCCTTACATGACTAGAAACAGCAAAGGAAATAGCAGCAAGACAGGCAAACAAAGACATTTGAATGGAAAAATTATGGTCTTCATCCACTGATAGATTTAGAAAAATTCAGAATCTCAAAYTGATTAACAGTCAGTGCACATGACTCCTTTGGATAATTGAGGAAAGCTTGATTTATGTGCTCAGGTTAGGAGCAGCTGCCACTTCTAGTGACTATTCCATGACTCCCTCCTGTTCCAGCCAGTAAACTYAAGGACCTGGGGGCTGAAGGATTAACTGCCACTTTCCTGTTTGCAAGTTCAACCAGTAGAAAAGTGCAGAACGTGTCCCAGAGAGCAAAAATAACTGTGCATGAATTTAGTGCATATTTCAGATGCAGTGAAGCTGACATCACATAATGAAATATCTCTGAATGGTCTCAAATTGCTGAATCTAATAATACGATTTTAATTTAATTTTTGGTTCATACTCTTTTTGATGTGAACAGTGAATTGTGTCTCTCAGTTTTGATCTTATTTTTCAGTTCGTTTTTGTAGGATGGTGGATAATCTTTCCTTATATTCACATGGATCTGTATAATTTCCTTGGCTTTACAGGGTTTACATGAATGTTGCTGTTTTCTCCTGTGCTGGTAACCTTGAATTGAATATTTAAACCAAAGGAATTGTATGAGTGCTCTGAATCCAAAGGTGACACACAGGTTTCCTGCCCTGTCTGCTAAAGCACTAAAGATATAGGTGGCCGTGTGCTTTGTGTTAGTTTGGGGATTCTTGCTTGGAAGGAGTTCTAGGGTTCAGTGAGAGCTTAAAAACAGGCAATGACATGAGAGAGTGAGCTTTTTAAATATAATTGGAGCAAATGCCTGGTAGGAATATGCAAATGTCGTGCTTGTGTGCACCAAACAACAGAGAATTAACTTGGACTTTTGTCTCTTTCTACTGCTGACTGTAAATCTTCACATAAATCAGTTTAATCAGTCATTAGAAAGAATAACTTTAAAAAAGTAGGAGGCAGATTTCTGAAAGCCCTGTCCTCTTTTCATCAGGTAAGTCACTAGTCAACGTCCGTGCTGGGAAGACAATATAGGTCATGTCCCTAAACCTGATTTTTCTGCCTGTCCAAAATAGCAATTGCCAGAGTCCATGATTAACATTTTTTTTATGATTGGTTGTTTGGTTGTTTGGTTGTTTGGTTGGTTGGTTGGTTGGTTGGTTGGTTGGTTGGTTGGTTGGTTGGTTGGTTGGTTGGGTTTTTTGGCAAGATGGCGTTTGATCTGATGAGGTTATTATGTACTAGTTAGGCATTTGGCAGATTCCCAAGGAGCTTCTCCATCAAGTGTGTGTTACTGTCATGGGATTTTGTATCTATCTCATAGCAGTTTATGGCTCCTTGCAATGGYGTCACAATTTTAGTCTAAAGGTGATACAACCTTCAGGCAAGCCCAGCTTCTAGAGATACCTGTCAGAAATAACTTCTAGCATTGCTCCTGCCTAATTACTGTGACATCCCTGAATAATTCTGTGCTACCATCAGTGAACTCTGAAATGAGTGCTTACTGAAGTGAGTCAGAGAAATTCRGAAGCTACCAGAAGTAAAATTAGCTGATGGTCCTGTCTCTTTAGAAAATTTTAAAAAGCATTAATGATGGTATGAAATCTCTGGCAATGCTTTTCAGTTGAAATGTATCTTAATTAGATTTTGGCAAAGACTTATATGCAACTGARTTATGGGGCTTTTTAGTTATAGGTGGCTTATTAGGTATTGTCTCACCTCAAGCACCACTTGCTTGTTTCTCTACCTATTGTCCTCTTTTTTTACCCATTCAACTATTTATGTGGCATGTGATAAACTGTATTCGGGAATAGAATTTTAAATTKAAATATGTTCATTATTTTTTTTTTCTGCCACTGTTCGAATAATGTCTGTTTGATTACCTCCAGTCTCCACAAATGCTATTAAAGAGGGCAGCAGGCACTAGAGATTGGCAAGGTAGATAGCAAAGTGAGAGAAGGAATAGGAACTGTATAATCTGTCTCAGCTACCAAAGCAAATGTGTACAATATTTCACCCTTGTCAGACAAGTACTGCATGGCTGGTCATCTACCTAGCTGAACTATGCAAAACCATTATGCATTTTTCAGGATTTTTATCTTCCTTACCTTCTTTTCTTTTCAATAAACTGTCATTAGCCACTCTCCCTTCCTCCCTGCTCCCATCTTCAATGGCTTCTGTCTTTTTCAGGGAGTTCATTGTTAMAGATTTATAAGTAGTGAATGAGGCTCTCCACTGTCTTATCAAGGACATTTTTTTCAAGCAAATTGACACATTCACTTCTGAAGGGCATTCAGTTAAGCAACTGCATACAAACATCCTCTGTCTCCCTGCCTTTTACCCTGAGCCAGACATTAAGTCATTCTCATCTCTTATAAACCACCTTCAAACAGACAAGAGAAGGAATGTATTCAGAGTGTATAGAGAGAATGTCCTTAGATTCCTCAGAAGTGAGCCAGTACCTTGGATTTTAGGACTATTTTCATGTTTATAGAAAGTTTCCAGCACAAATATTCTTTGCCCATGAAAAAAAAAAAAAAGACAAAGTGACAGAGAGTTGAAGCCTAGCTCTAGAGAAGGCTGAACTGGAAATTCACTTCATGACTGCATTTTTAGTTAGAAAAATCAGAGAAATTATAATGTAAGTTCTAAAATATAACAAGGAGATAAATCCTTTTCCTATTCCAATAATAATTGTATGAGAAAGAATGAGAAACAGCAGTAGAGAGGACTGGAGGAGAAAATAGCAGAAGACTTCCATCCTTTAGGCAAAAACTAATGAATCATCAGCTGTACYGTATAAATTCTTTCAGGCAGATGACAATTACTTAAATCAATAACATTGCAATATAAACTAATAACTTTATGATATTTCCTTACCACGTTGCCTTTTTTCTTCCCTCGTCTAGGAAACATGCCTTTCTTTTCCTTTGGAAAAATCCTGGCTTAAGTAATAGTATATGAGGTTAATAATGTTTTTTTTTTTTTGCTTCTCTACAGGGTTTCCTGTACAGATGAATGACTCAGATCACTTGCTATTTGAGCATTCTTTTCAAGGATGCATGCAGTTCATTCACGTGGATGATCAACTGGTGGATTTGCATGCAGTGGAGCAAGGCCAGCTGGGAAGCTTTGCCAATGTCACCATTGAYATGTGTGCTATTATTGACAGGTAAGCTGTGGAGAGATCACCCATACTGATACCTAACTGGTATGTCTTTCATATTCTGAAAATATACAGYGATCCAGAAAATATAGTCCTGACACTGCCAGTGATCATGTCAAGGTGGTYGTCCTACCTTTCTAGCAGTGGGAACCATGCTCAGATGATGGAGATGTGGATTTAAATTGTTGACTGTGTATGGTAGTGGAAAGCAACTCTTACATCTCCCCATTCACCAGCAGAGGAGGAGGTGAAAAGTTCTTGTGAGTCACACTCAGCCTATAGGTCAATAATATCGCTGTCTTGAAAAGGGGGAACTCCTCACACATTTTGTCTGTCTCCTAGATGGCTATTATGAAGATATTTTTGCAACTAGAAKTTGTGGGTCCTGGTTTCGGTGCCCTCTGGCTTCCTTGTGTTCCTCAGAGAACTAAAGCAGGTCCACATGCCTGCACATCAGTGCATGTAATAAACGCTCAAACCTAATTAAAATAATGCTTACTGGGTTTGTATTTTTCCAGTTTGAAAGGAGTAATTGAGAATTAGGACAGCCTTTCACTTTGGCACTACYTTTTCAACCATCTGTATTTTTTTTAACCTGTATTTTTTTAAAGTTGGTTCTGATTAGTGGTTTCTTTGTTGGCAAAAAAAAAAGAAAATTCTAGGAAAGACAGGAAGAACAAGTAACCCAACTCCTGAATGTAGGCAGCTTGGCTTATCATGAAAATTACCTGTACATTAAAGCCATTGCAAGCCTGCTGGAAAGCTGAAAATGGCTTTTTCAAATAGTGCTGTGAAAGAAGCAAAGAGTACTAGATCACAGAACCCTAGAATAATCCAGGTAACCACCAACTACGGAAGTTCATGCCACCCTCTAAATGCAGGGCCAACTTCAAAGCTACATTGGGTTACTCAGGGCCATGTCGAGTTGAGCTCTGAATACYTTCAAGGATAGATATTCTATTGGCTCAGTGATTTTGGATATCATTAGGAAATATTTGCATCATTATGGCAAAGAAATACACATCCATTTTATTTCCTACTTTAATTTAAGAGACTCTCAAAGAGATAGATGCTACTGTGAAAAAGAACAAAATATGACATTCTGCTTTGGTCTTGCAAAATGTGTTCTCTTCCTGAAATATAGACATCCATTTGCACTAAATGAGTTGTGGTAGGTTGTATCATGGCCATCAGCCAAATACCCATCCCACCTTTAGCTTTCCTCCCTCTCCYGAGAAATGGGGATCAAAACAGAAGAATGGCAAAAAGACTTGTGGATTAAGACTGCAATTTAATAAGAAAAGCCAGAGCTGCAAATGCAAGCAAAGTAAAAMAGTGACATTTTTTCATTACTTTTCATCAACAGGCAAATGTCCAGCTGCTCCCTGGGAACCAGGGCCTCAGTACATGCAGTGGTTGTTTTGGAAGAGAAACTCCATAGCACTAAACATATTCCCTTCCCCTTCCATTCTTTGAGTSTTTATGGCTGGACATGGTGTTGTACAGTATGTGATTTCCCATGATCAGTTCCCAGATATGTCCTTGTCTAACCTCTTACCCACCCACCTCCTCCCAGCCTGTAAGGGGAAGGGTGTGGAGAGTGCCTTGATGCTTCCTGACAAGTGCTGYCCAGCAGCAGCCAGAACAGTGGTCTGGTGCCAACTGCTGGGAAACACAACTCCCCTGGGTTGCTGGGAAGAAGATTAATTTAATAACTCCATCCCAGCCAGATCCAGAATACCACTATAATAACCTCAGTGTTAAAGAACATGCTTTGTGGTGTACCAGTGAGTTGTTATAGCATGTCAGACCACTTTATATTGATGATCCTCATTGACCTGTTGGAAGTTGAAGTTACAATGAAAASAGCAAATGACAAGCTGCTGTCATAGGGATGAAGTTTGTTCTGTCTCCTCACAAACATCTGAAATTAGAAAAACCTTCTGTTGTCAGTATTCATCAGTTTGAATTACTTGGTTTTGTTTTGAATATTTGGTTTTGGAAATGTAAACTGATGTGAAAGAAAAGGTGTGAAGATATAGCTAATTAAGTTTATCCATTGGAAGAAAAAATTGAGCTTATGCAACAGTTCATATTGATCTCAATGACTGAACTCACTTATGCAAGTTTCCATGAGAAATAATTCCATTGTTATAGGGAAGTTAATCAGAACTGAGCTTTTGAAATGTATCATGATGTAATTACAARTAACTTGCAACATAAGTTAATTAGTATCCAAATGTTATTATATATTTATKACATACAAGACAAGGCTTCCTATACATCAAGCAGCTTACTTTGGATGTTAATTTCATATATATGTTACTACTTAGAAGTTTTTGGTTTTTTTTAATAGTGCATAATATGCATTGAAATATTTCMTATATTATAATGCCACATGCCACATAAAAGTTATATATATAGTGACCTTACATTATATGAAAATATTACTATATATATTTTTATGTTATGAATACAGCTGTTTTTCATATATATACGAAATAAAGTATATATATATATATAACAGTTGTATTCATAACAGAGTTTGGCATAAATAACAGTGTTTTATATATGCTTATATATGTATCCTTACTTTGTATAACAAAATGCATTCTCACTCTGTTTCTTCTTCCACCTTGGATGCTGATATCATCCTTATATAAATTAAAACTGTTATGTCTTACCTGTGTTTTTTTTCAAGCACAGGAAGATTGTGATGCAAGCAGAGTAGTAATTCTACAGTCACAGGAATTTAGAGGAGTATCCAAAGATGTTTTTGGGGTTGGTTTTGTTTTCTTTAATGATTGAGATGTAATCAAGTTTTCTGTTTTGCCATGATTAAGTTTATTTCTTGTTGCTTTGCACTTTAGAACAAACTCTTTGGCTGAGAAGTAACAATGCTGAGCTTTAGATCTGACTGGATTTTCACAGCTGTCTTAYTAACTGCCAATAAGAGTTTACAAGCACTTCTGCTACAATATGCCWTTATATATAACATTGTTTTTGTGGCTTTCTTTAAAGAATCCAAGTACATGTGTGCTATATATCATCTCAATTTCACTTCCTTTGAAATGGGAAGATACTTGTGGCATGTCATACTGGGATACTCCTGCATTTTTAAGTAGTTTGGTTCTGAATGATAAAGGCTTCAGTCATCATTATCTAACAAGAAATTGCTTTCATAGCCACACTTCAGTAAAGTCTCCCACTGGGCAAAAAGATAAGCTGTCACACTGAATTATTCTTACTGCAGGCTTCAGCCATTTGGTGCAGGGGATAAAAGGTGAAGTTGTAAATGGTGGCATTTTTCATCATTAGCCAGAGTTGTTGGTAAGGAGGGGTGTTTTCTCAATAAGAACATAACAAAAGGTACTGAGTGTTTGTTGGGTGCTCAGGTTGCAYGTGCCTGAGGGTAACTTCTTCCAAAGTCCCAGTTTTGCTGATCTAAATGCTGGCCTGATATGGAAAAGTTTTCTGCATTTAATTTCCAGCAGTTTTGAAAAATGTGAGAACAATAGTCATGTTAGAGTATTGCGCTTATACTTGGGAGATGCAAGGGTTGAACCAGCATATTTTTATTTTATCTTCCCCTCCTGTCATGGATAGGCAAATAGGCCTAGAGACCAGAATGACATAATTACTTCAAACAGCATGGTGACTTCTAACTGTACCCCAATACCAAGCATTTAAAACCAAAATGMAATTATTACAATTTTTCTCTTCACTTTCTCAAGCCCCACACATTGGGCACCAAATTTRTCTTGGTTTGAGACAATGTTTTCAGAGAGAAAACATTACAGAGTAAATGTTTCCTCTGAAGAGAAAGAATTTGATAATKTTTTCCCACCAATATGAAATAGATGTTCGGGCAAAAGTGAAGAGAAAAAAAAAGTAGTTTATTAACAAAACATAGTGCCCATAGGACACAGATAAAATGTAACTGTTGGATATTTAAAAGTTCTGGAACACATGCCACTCCTCCCTCCACAGCTGCTCAGCCACGTGGTGTGGAAAAAAGATGGTGGCCCCTGTCCCTGGAAAAAAAGAAACAAAAGAAAAAGGTCCACGTGGCTGTCTGGGCAACAGTGACAACCTGGTGGCAGTCCTCATTGTGGATGAAACAGAGGGCTCGGTGTGCTTTTTCTGTTGCCCCTTGGCTTCTTCCGTAGTCCAGGATGAGAAGGACTGGCGCCGCTTATCCCCTCTGGCCACCCAATTGCTCCAGAAGAAAAATCACTGGAGCCCGCGGAGAGGGTGGCAGTCCAGGGAAAGCTGTTTGTCCAAGCTAACAAACGCAAGCTAGCTAAACGGCAACAATGTAACTCCACTGCACACTGCAAGCAAGGACTCCCACAGTGCTGATGCTGAGGTCCAAAAAGCAAATGGCTGCATGGCAGCCCTGGCTTTTAAACTGCCCGTACTGCCCCTGCCCCTTCTTCTGTGTCACATTAAAAGGCACAGACACCTTCTGGGCATACAAGCTGACAGAATACAGGAATATAGGATTGGCACAACATCAACCCAAGACACYTCCTCACATGAGCATTTTTAATTGCAAAGATTGTAAGCTGAGATGTAATTACAGGGGAACACCAAAGCTAAGGAACAGTCTCTTTTTACCAGGGGCTAAAGGTATAAATGCATATCATTTCATGCAGGTATGTATTTAGTAATTACAGGCAGCTGAAAATGCTACTGAGAAAAGAAAAATAATCATTCCTATTTCTGTCTCTTAATTGCCTATAATTGCATTAGAAATGGAAGTTGCATTGTTGTCACAGTGATCCACGYGCTGCATTGTGACAGCACAGGTCCCTGGGCACCTCCTTTACTTAACATTAACTACCTAACTTCTGGCTACAGTCCAGATGGTACTATTGTACATTCAGATTTTGGCACAGGACATTGAACAGGAATTATTCAGAACTAATTTATCCCAGCACTCTCGGAGAATTCTAAAGMATTCCTGACTTTATTATGGCTAGAATTATGGATTTTAATCACAAAACC